CCCCCCCACACACACAGAGACAGAGAGAGAGAGAGAGAGAGCATATGCACTAGAATGGGATGGGTGTAAATGCGTCCGTGCATGAGTACCTTGAGCGTCTCAGGTGACACCGACGGCCTGATCATCTTGCGCGCGTCCTTGAAATCGTCCATCGTTATCGGACGCACCTCCTCGGGCCTGCAACCATAACACACACCACACACACATGCACATCGATGGCCTGTGTGCATGCCATGGTGCCATGCTCACTTGAGCGACGAGAGCTGTGGGGGCGGCAGTCCCCTGACCGGCACCATGGCGGCCTCCTTGCACAGGGCAGTGAGGTCCGACCCCGAGTAGCCGTCCGTCAGGCCCAGCAGCTCCTCCATCGTGCCCTCGGCGATCTCATGATGGCTGCCGGACAACAGATTCTGAACCAACACCCTGCACACACAGAACAAACACCATGTGAGTCTGTCTGTCTGCTTCGTGGCCGCAAGCATCCCATTCACACCACACACGTGCAGTGCAGTCAGACGGACGGACCTTCGCGTTTCTCTGTCTGGCAGCGGGACGTAGATGCGTTTGACGAGCCGCCTGAGCATGGCGTCATCGAGCTCCCGCGGCCGGTTCGTGGCGCCAAGCACTAAAATGCGGTCCTCACCCGACGAGCCAGCACCGTCAATCTGCACCAGAAACTCCGTCTTCAGACGCCTGCATGCTCACACAGACAGGTGCAGGGAAGGGGGTGCGCTGACGGCAGGGTGGATGGATGGATGGTGTACCTGGCCCCTTCGTGTTCGCCGGATGATCTGGATGTGAGCATCGAGTCGATCTCGTCGATGAAGATCACCGCGGGCTGCAGCTTCTTGGCCACAGAAAACAAGGCACGCACCTGTCCGTCCACAAGAGGATCGATCACCCAACCAATCAGAAAGTGCCCACACCCACCTGACCACCGCCCGCCAAACGTACCTGTTTCTCGCTCTCCCCCACCCACTTGGACGTGATGGACGAGGCGCTGATGTTGAAGAAGGTCGCGCCGCACTCCGTGGCGACTGCCTTGGCAATCATGGTTTTGCCGTTGCCCGGAGGGCCAAACAATAGCACGCCCCTGGCCGGCGCACGGAGGCCGCTGAAGAGCTCGGGGTTGAGGGAGGGGGCTATCACGATCTCCTGATGCACACATGGCCAGACAGACAGAGAGGGATGCATGGATGGATGGATGGATGGCTTGGAGGGGAGGGAGGGAGGGTGGGTGGCCGTGTGCTGTCACACACTACCTGTAGTGTGTCCTTGACGAGCTCAAGTCCTGCGATTCCCTCCCACCGCACCCCTGGCGCATGGTCCAGTATCTCATTCAAGATCCGCTGCTCCTGATGACATGACGTCAACACACGAAATCCACACAACACACCCCACACCAACCAGAATTCTTCTCTCTCTGCAGCATCCATCTGTGAGTACCAACCATGTCATCCCATAGCTGCGCGGCGATCCTTTTCTGCAGCGAGCTGTTGGCCCTGCTCACGCCAAACGACCCCCTCCCCCTTCCCCGAATGCCAGCCCTCCCTCGTATGCTGCTGCCGGTGGCCCTTCTGTCCTCTGACTGAGATGGGGTGGCCGCAGCAGGTGGGGATGCGCTGGGTGGGGTGGGTCTCTCGTTGCTGCGGGTGAGGGGCGGGGGGGTCTCGGGGAGCTGGGAAGGGGTCCGACCGCCGCTCACACTTGTGAGGCTCTGACGACGCATCGCATCCACAGCAAACAAATGAGAAATCACGTCTGTCTGTCTGTCTGTCTGTGTACTGACGTATCTCACTCATTAGCTAACTGACCGGTCGTTGTCTGGCCGGCGTGGTGGTGGCCGATCTCGTCTTGTCGTTGCTGCTCGCAGTGGCTGACGCCCTCATGTGTGGCGGCACATACTGATCGCTGCTCGACATCGTCCTCCCTATCGACTGCTTCGACGGACTCCTCTCGATGCTCGCCGGTCCATCCTGATCTGGCCTCTCCCTGCTGCTTTGCTGCTGTGCCTGCTGCTGCTTCTCTGCAGCCTTTCTCATGCAGGGCATCATGGCAATGGGCGGTGGCTGCGCAGAGCGGTCCTTGTCGGCAGTGGGGGTGGGGCGGGGAGGGAGGGGGGCCCGCCGGACGGGCGTCTGCGTCTGAGTGGCCCTCGTGTTGGACTCCACGAGATCGTTAAGAGCCGTCTTGATCTCTTCGTGGCGCGCCTGGATGGCCGGCCGCATGGCCATGGGGATGGTCTTGAGTGTGTTCTCCTCCAACAGGGACTCATACAGACGGCACGCAGCACTGGACACCAAACCAAAGAAGGCGCCAATGGCAGGCAATGTGTTGGCAATGTGGCTCCTGTCTGTGTGTCGGCTTGGCTCGACCCACCCACCGGTATCGCTCGATGGCTTCCTTGGTGTTGGTGGAGTTGGGTGCGGGCTCTGACTTGCCGGACTTGTCGGCTCCCATGATCTTCTCTGCCCCCTTGACGTGATCCTCCGCCTCCCTCTTCACCTCGCGAACTGCACCCACCCACCCAGCAATTAACACACACACACACCACCAACCGTATCGTGTGTGGTGTGGGGATGCCATGCGTTGGTCAGGTCAGCGACTCGCTCAGCTCACCGGCAGCGCTGTAGCTGCAGCCCATGAAGGATGATACGGGCGAGCGGACACGCGCCTGTGCGCTGCGCAGGGCGTCCAGAAGCGTCACCGAGGGATACACATACATCTCTGACAATCACTCACAAACAACACAGAAGGCCGACGCTGTGATCAATGTGGTCCTCGCCTCCCTCCCCTCCCTAGGGAGTGTGTTCTCATGAAAGACGTACATTGGAGCAACTGGAAGGCGGCTCGTTCGAGGGAAAAGGATCCGATTCAGCGGTCGGTGTTGCCTTGAGTCATCTGACGCCTTCACGAGCAATGGAGCGAGATATGATGGCGCTTGGGGGTTGGCAAAATATCGTCAGGGCGGGGAGGGGAGGGAAGGGAGAGGGTGTGAAGGAAGAACTCCACACTAGAACTCCACTGAACCTTTGTCCTCGTCAACTGGGGCACAAAGCAACCTCAGCGAAGCACCTGCTTGGGCTTGCCCAAACGCGAGCTAGGAAGTGCGATCCGCGCTAAGTTGTGTGAGGGATTCCTTCCATGTTCCCCCCCGTTCCTGCGTACCCTCCCAAGAGTGCCAAACACTCCTGAGGGGAAGGGTTTACAAAAAGGAGCTCATCATCTCAGAGCAATGCATGCAGCTGCAGCCAGCCTCGACATTTCACATCAGGAACTCCTCTCATGGCGTCTACTCGAGCGCATTGTTTGCCCATCACGGCAATGCCCCGATTGTCCGCTACACTCGACGAGCCGTACGTGAGTCCCATGCTCCATGCAATGCGCTGACTGCCACACCCCCCTCCCGTCACTATCTCACTCGTCATAGCCATACCCACCCCCCTCCCCCTTGTCCCCTTTCTCCCCCCTCCTCTCCGGCGGCAACCTTATCACCATCCTACCTACCGTCTCGCGTCCCCCACCCACGCGGCGCATCGAAGGCTTCTCGCCAGATGCAGCAGCTGCTGCTGCTGCGTGTTGCGGCTCTGGCTGTGGTGTGGGCTCTTCGACGGTCGGCAGGGCGGGGAGGGCGGCTGGCGGGGGGAGGGGCTGGGAGGGGAGGCGGTCGGGGAGGGGAGGGGGGTCGGTGAAGAAGGGGTAGGCCTCCTCCACTTGCGCACCTGAGAAAAGTGCAGACATGTGTTAGTGGTTTGCCGATGGGGTCATCTACCCCTAGGGTCATCCACGTGTGGGTGGGTGGGGGCTTACATGTTTGTTCGAGTAGCTGCAGCAGCTGTCCCTCGCTGGCCTCACGGGCCTCACGCTCAGTCTGCACACACACACACACACACGGACGCACACGCACTCAGAATGTTGGATGGACACATCAGCGGGTGGATTGGTCAGTTATCGTCAGTGTGTCACCTTCAGGTCGGCCATCAGAGTGTCGCGCATGCCATTGATGAGCCTGCAGTGAGTGACAAACAGGACTCCTACCTAACTCGGCCTTTTTGCATGTCATCAGTGACTGAGTACTTGAGTGTGGTGCCACGCAGCTCGCCCAATCCCTGAGGAACACAAAAGCAAAACGCCCGTCACATGCATCGTGGTGGTTTTCGTGGCAGTCGACGGCGACCTTCCGCGACTCGGTGATCTCGCTCTCTATCTGCTGCAGAGCTGCAGCAAACAAGAATCCGTTTTATGGCCATGCGTTGCGTATATTCCTTCTCCAATGGTGCCCTGCCCGTGTCGTGTACCTGTCTGCATGCCCTCTACAATGCCCTCCTCCTTCTGCATACTGCAGGCAATGGGGCGAAGGCCAGGCAGCCTTTTCGTCTGCCCCTCTCGTGGCAAATTTCCCTACCTACCGAGCTATTTTGTCCTTTTCTATCTCCTCAAACAGGTCTGCGAATCGGTTGCCGATCTCCGACCCGTACGCCTCGTCCGTATCGACGCGCTCTGACGGACGGGTGGCAGGAGAGGGAGAGGCAGACCTGGTGTTTTCGGCTGGCTGCACTGGCATGCCATGCCATGTGTGTGGTCGGTCGATGTACCTACCTTTAGTGTGTGTCTGGAGGTCTTGGTTGAAGTGGGCGGCGGCCTTGTCTACCTCAGCCGTCACGCGCACCTCCATCTCACGACGATCCTGCCGCCCCCCCCACACACATCCGTGCGTCACATCCACACAAACAAAGGCATGCAATCAGATCCAGTGCACCCCATGGGGAGTGAAGTGCACCGACCTGCGAGTTGATGTTTGTGTTGAGGTTGATCTGTTGGTCGGCGAGCTGCACCTCCTTGGCCAGCCGGGACACAAACGCATCGCAGTGGAGGGGCAGTGGACCCAGACTCGAACAAAGACGACCGTACACGTCCTTTACGTGCTGCACCACACCAACAAACAACAGAGGAAAGGACAATGGATGGATGCGTAGATGGATGCGTGGAGGTAGAAGGGTGCCTTGATCTTGGTCTCCTGTGCGACTTGCATCCGCGAGATCTTCTCCTCCAGCTGCCGCACACCATTGTCCAAACTCTCACGACGCAACTGCATGGCCACATCAACCAAGCCACAGACAGGGCAGGGGGGAAGTCCCCATTTCTTTCTGCCGTTGTCGGCCTCCCCCCCATTGCTCACCCACCTGTTTATCTTCGCTATGGCTGGTCTGGAGATCCACGAGCCTCTCGGACAGCATCCGCATCCGCGCGGCGGTCGGAGAGGCCGGACGGGCACTCGACACAGATGCTGCGCAGATCCCACCACAGATGGTGAGAACCAAAAGACGATATGGCGGCTATCGTTTCGGCTTACGGGAGAAACCCGATGGCGGCTTCCCAGCACCCTTCATCCGCAATCCCAGTCCGCTTTCTTCTCGACGGTCGACCTTAATCATCCGTTTAACCAATGTCTTGCTTCGCGTCATGAACTTGGACACAGGACAACCTGCCTTTGTGCGGCGCGTCCGTGTCTCTTCGACAGATTCACACCCATTCATCACACAGACTGAGTCCTTTCAATGTTTGTGCACGCGCAGACACTCAGGGGTTTCTCTCCATGTGTGATGTCTCCCACGGTGGCACCAGTCCCGCTGCGAGAGAACTTGTGCAGACGGCCGGCAATGGTCATCTGCACAAGTTCAACCCCAGCGCGACACGTCACACACGGGGCGAGCCACACCGAGATGCAATCCAAAGCATCAGTCACAGCTGAGTGTCCCTCTCTTCAGCCCATCCATCTCGACTGCTGTGCATGGAGTGGGTCCCCTGTAGGGCAGCAACCTCGTAGGTGGCGGCGAACACCTCTGTTCCGGTGCCCGCCGCTGCCTACGAAGCTCCACGTCAACAAGGAACCGCCACGCCATTGCATTGACCACCACCACAAACAAAAGCAGTCGAGACGCACAGCACAATCAGCAACGGAAAACTGCCCCCATCCATCCGTCCATCCATCCATCCATCCATGGGTGTGTACACGCATCGCATATATCAGTTGCATTGGCCCTCGTTGGCCCCGCTGCTGCTGCCGGAGGAGGCCGACGGCTGGCCGGTGTTCTGTTGGAATGATATGTTGTATCCGCCGGTCTCTGGGTTCTGCTCCATCTTGAAGTTGTCCAGGGACAGGCCGATCTTGCCCAGGAAAAAGTTGCCTGATTGTTGACGATAGGGAGGGAAGGAGGGAGGGAAAAGAGCGTGTGTGTGGGGGGGGGATGCGCGTGTGTGGCCGCGGGAGTGCCTGCCGTATGTTACCCAGGTCTTTGAGTTTGCCGACCACCTCCTCTTTGTCCTTCTCGAACTGCTCCTTGGCTAAACAAAGAGAGAGATCCGACGTATGTTTATGTGTGTGTGTTATCGTCAGTCATGTCAGTCATGTGTGTGTCCGCCGGCCTGGCGCACCTCTCGTCTCGAGTCGAGCCAGCGGGCCGGCAAGCCTGCTCCTGCACCCACACACGCACACACATAGAGGGTGCACCTCGGTAGGTGTGTGAGGTGCACCTCCCTCCCTCTCTCTCTCCCAGCTCTCCCAGCTCTCTGCCTGGCTGACCTTTGTGAAGGGTCCAGCTCGACGACCTTCTGCATGTCGGTGAGGGCGTCGTGCCACCGCTCCAGCTTCTCATACGCACTGCAACGACGCATAAACGCCTGACAGACAGGGAGCGATACCAACAGGGGGGCGGGGGGGACATACCACACGGATGTATCGGCTGTCACGTTGATTCCGGTAACGTGATACACACACGTGTACCTTGACGTAGGTGGTGTCGCTGGCGATGGCGTCGCTGCAGTCGGCCGCCACCAGGTCGTACTTCTCCAGCTGCATGTGACACGCCGCCCTGCACACAATCACACACACACACACGCACACACATACAGGTACACTCAGAGATCTGTGACCTGCAGTGCGGTACGTGCGGACCTGTTTGCAAATATAATAGCCTTGAGCTTGGCCTGATCCGGCGGACACAAGTAGAGGGCCTCTGCAGTGCACACATCCACACACACAGAGGTGTGCTGTGCCGACCGACATACGCCACGCCCAGCCACCGCCCCTCTGACCGACCTGTGTATATGTCGATGGCCTCCTCGAACTGTCCGTCCTTGTACCAGTCGTTGCCCTCCTTCTTGAGGCTCTCGCACTTCTCGAGGTCATAGTGATCCTCTTCTTCCTCCTCCCCACCACCACCACCACTAGCAGCATGATCGCCCTCGCCGTCGGCATCGGCATAGGGATCGGCGTGCTGCTCCACTTCACCTCCACCATCAGCGTCAGCCTCACCCTCACCATCATCGCTCTCACCGGCCTCAGCGATCACCGGCGCCTCGTCCCCCTCGCCGTCATGCTCATCTTCACACTCCTCCGCATTCTCGTAGTACCTGGCGTGGTCCTGCCGTTGCTCTGTCGTGTCATCAACAGTCGGAGCCGGCTCATGATCTCTTGCCTCGTCTCGGTGGCGACCGTCGAGCATCGGCCCATTCACGGTAGTGGTGCCGACGGGCTCCGCCGTGTGACTGGTGTCATCTTGCTTCTCAGCCGCTCCACGCTCCTCCATTGCTTGCTGCTCCTGCTGCTTGTGTCGCCCATTCTGCACGCGATAAGCCGGCTGCCTGAGGTCTTCAGTGAAGGGGTCCCGGGCGGCGAACAGACCGGTCACGCTGCCAGTCCTCACGGCGGGGGCAGGCTTGGTGCTGTCGGCACACTGCTCCCCGTCATCACCGTCGTCATCGTACAGGTCGGCTCCTTCCACCACACCACCTGTGGGTGCCGCTCTTGGTGCTGGTGGATGAGAAGGAGGAGAGGGAGAGGGGGCGGGGGCGGCCTCCTCGGTGGGGGTGTCTTTGACAGGGACGAAGCGGCACACCCCTCCCTCGCACACAACGCCTGAACACACACACGACACAGGAGCCAGCCAGAGAGAGCATTGCATGCACCTTCACCCGAAGCAGTGATGGTGTGCGGACCTGGTGGCATGCCCGAGTCCGTGCTCTGGTTGGCAGCGACCACACTCGTCTCGACACGCTTGTCGTCCTTGTCTTGCTGCTGCTGTGCGGGCCGCTGAGGACCGAGATATCGCCAGAGGAAGATCAAGGCAATCAACGCAGCCAACACAACGGTGCCAAGGACAATCCACATCTTCGCTGCCTTCCAAACGCTTTCCTTTTCTTCTTTCCTCTCCCTCCTCTGCGAGCTTGTCGATCTTGCAAGGAAGAAAAACCGGTCGGAAGGAGAGAAGCAGACGATACCATTTGCACACAGACCCTCCGCAGCAAGGGTTCCCCAAAAGATGGCTCTCGTCGTCATCGTTCGATCTTGATAAAGCTGTTTTTCGCAGCACAGCTCATGCAGCGGCGCGATTTCCCCTCCAGAGTGCTCATTGACACCCTCTAAGCGGTGTGTAATCGCCGTTTGCCCAATTCTCGACCTCTGCTCGGACTTCTCCATCAGCCGGATCGACCTGCCCTCTCTGGCGCTACTCATTGCTAAAGGGGCGGATTGGTCGGTCCTGAAGGGCGCGGCGTGGTGTGTTTGGTGGTGAGGCGGCGTTGGATCGTGTGATCTTGAGTCGGGTCGTTGGTGAGGATGTCGGTCGTTCAGAAGGACCGTAAGAAGAACTATGGGTCGGCCTTCTTCGAGCGCGAGACCCTCATATTCACATCGGTGGAGCAGATGGAAGCCGCCGGCAAGGTCAGACAAGAAGCATGCACGCAACGGCTGGTTGGTTCAAGTGGGGGATGTGTGTGTGGGAAATGTGTGTGTGTGTGTGTGACTTGGTTGGCTGGCTGCAGAGGAACCACAACAACTTGTCGTTGTGCAAGATGCTGCGCGAGGAGCTCTGCAGCAGCCCCAAGTACAAAGTCAGGAGATCAGACATCGCCGTCCCTACCGCAAGTGAGTCGATTGATGAATGAACGCACTCACTGACCACACACACACACAGGGACCCATGATACACCCACCTCTTCCATGTGTTTTGTGCTGTGTGGTTTCAGAGATCGAGGAGTGCGTCGATGTCGTCAACACGGAGCGCAAGTTCGACCGGCCCCCACACTACATCAGATTCGCCTCCAGAAAAGACTTGTAAGCAAGAACTACTCACACCCTCCACACAGACACTTGCGCCACCCCTCCCTGGCTCCCTGTCAGTGTGCCGTCTCTCATATGCGACAACGGCGAGTCGGCCGACCCTCCCGACCACCAGCAGCACCAGCACCAACAAGCCAACCCTGCCATGTCGTCCGTGTCGCTGCCCAGCCGACACCACCGCGGCAAGGCCACCGACGAGTACCTGGGTCGTGGGTACGGGACAGGGGGCCGCGGGGACGACCCTTTGTACTTGGTGCATGGTCGGGGCATCCACGTGTTCTACGACATGACTGTGGCTGACATGGAGTGGCTCAAGCAGTACAACAGTGGGGCCGCACCGGAGGACCAGCTCAAGGAGGTGCGTGGGGAGGAGGAGAGGAAAGGAGTGGCGGGGAGGGGGGAGAGGGGATGCCGACTGTTGGTCTGTGTGACTGCAGGACGACTTTGCGTGGATGATGCACAGCTTGGAGTGGGAGCACCAGTACAACCCCACGCAGCCGCCAGAATGTCAGCAACCAACGACACACATTCACGACAGACAGACAGAAATGGGAGAAAGTATCTGTCTGTCTCTGTGTCTGTCGTCATGTCACCTGTCTGTGTGCAGCGTTGTCGAATGAGTGGGGTGTGTCCCAGCTGACTCAGCTCAACCGCTCCAGGGACCAGGCCAGGCACCTCAAGCCACACGTGTGTGTGCTCGTCTTCAAGGTCAGTCCAAATGCAACTCAGGGGGGCCCACCCACACCTCTCTCTCTCTATGTGCGTGTGTGTGTGCAGCATTGGCAGAAGCGTCGTCAAGAGGCGGGCAAGCCGCTGGTCCGCGCCTTCTGGCAAAACGCACCACCCGACTCCAGGGACCCAATGGCGGTACGCACACCGTACTGCAGACACACATGCACAAATGTCGATCTGTGGATGGATGGATGGATGTGTGTGTGTCTGCAGGTGTTTCGCCCCCGTAAGACGGAGAAGATGCAGCTGAGGGGCCGCAAACGGACATTGCAGGTGGGAACAGGAAGGGAGGGTCAGAGATGGCATAGAGACGCGCAGAGAGTGTGGTGTGTTGGGTGAATGTCGGTCCAGGATTGCCTGGCCCGCTGTGAGCAGCTGGCGGACCACTTCACCAAGGTGCGTGTCGCACAAAGACATACACAAGTTCATCGATGCCTCATGTGTGTTGGCTGCGCTTTGATATGTGCAGGTCGAGAAGATATTCCGCCGGCTGCGTCAGCGTGAGGACAAGAAGATCATGCTGGCCGACCTCAACAACTGCCTCTTCGACCAACAGTGGTAAGGAAGGGCTCACGCGCACGCCACACCGAGAAGCATGCCAATGTCTGTCTGATTGTGTGTTTGTGTTTGTGTGTGCTTCATTCAGCAAGGAGATGCTGCTTGACGACATGTCATACGAGTCGGCGGACTTCCCCAGGATCAGGGACCAGATCAAGAGCGCCAAAGCCAAGAAAAACAAACACAAGTATGTTCGTTCATCGGTCCCTCCCTCCCTCTGCACATCACACAGACACGTTGGTCAACGGCTGCGGCCATGCGTGTGTGTCGTCAGGTTGGGCCCTCAGTACGTCGTCCCTGGCACCGGCCCCAGCCCCCATATGCACGGCCTGGGCACTCCCTCCTCCCTCCCATATGAAGATCTGCTCAGAGCTGGTTGGTACCACACACAACACACACGCACACTACACACACACACATGCATTCTCAAATGACTGACTATGTGTGGCGTCACGTCACTGTCACGTACAGGAGGTCCTATGGGCAGCTTCTCCCAGATGGACAGCTCCCTCATGCTCATGGACATGGAGCACCCGGCCGCAGCCAACGACGAGGAACGGCCATTCATGGCCAACGAGGTCAGCCAGCCACCAGAGAAGGAGCGGATGACACCAGTGACATCAATCACATCACATCACACTGCCGTCCATTGTGTGCGTGTGTGCAGTACGACGCTGTGTACGGCGGCCGCCCGTCTGAGGCCCTCATGAGACCCAACCAGCGCACTCGGCTGAGAAGAGGTCAGTCACAGCCACACACGCCAAACCCATGTGTGTGTGTGTGTGGGTGCATGTGTGGATGTGTCTGTGCGTGTGTTTCCCAGGTCGCGGGGGTCGCTGGTGGATCGACTGCTCCGCCCGGTGGTACCCATACGCCTCTCAGCTTGCCCCTGCAGGCGCCTACACAGAGGCCAAACGGCGCACACACAGACGGGGCTCCGACTCGCTGCTCAACTACGGCTACCAGCACCTGCCCAAGAGCGTCCGCGGCCCATACGCCGGTGCGCGCCACCGGCAGCTCTCCCCGATGCCCCTCATCAACAACTTCCAGCCCTTCGAGCCGGCGCGTGAGGTGCCGGACAGCGTGGGCGGGCTGGTGATGAGTGGCGGCGCTGTGTCGCCATTCGAGCCTACATTCGCCACGCCATCTGACTGGGGCAATGTCGACACCAATGGTACGTACGGATGCCTGGCAATGGGGAATACAGACAGACCTTCTATGTCACTTTGTCTCTCTCTAAATGTCTGTTGTCTGTGTGTCAGGTTCTTCGTTGAGTGAGGACGGTGCGCGCGAGTGTGTGCGTCTGGAGCGGATCATGGCGTTGGGTCTGGAGGAGGACACCCGCCCCTTACCGCCGCCCACCGACCCCAACAAGGACCCACTCAGCAGCAGAGAGAGGGCCGTCGTCGAAGGCCTCAAAAACGACGCCAAGAACGTCTATCGGGTACGTCCGTCCACACACACACTCACACATCTACATGCACATTGGCATTGGTGATGTATCTGCTGGTGTGCGTTGTGTGCTGTGTCTGCAGGACATGTGTGTGCCGCCGACATTGGAGGTGAGGCCGCCGCGGGTCGCCACGCCAAGGGGGATGCCCACATAGCTGTCTTAGAAAGATAGAGCCAGGAAGCCTGGCTGCTGCTGTGCCATCTAGCGAGGGAGGGAGCAGACAGACAGACATTTAGAGGAGGGGTCGTGTGTGAGCAGGGTGGCAGGGACGACGCCACTGCTGCTGTAATCAATGGGAGGGAGGGGGAGGGACAAACAAACTCGAGACATGCAGTTTCGTCGTGATCAGCGCCGAGGCATCGCATTCCGTTTACATTTTGGCTCAGATAATGGAGAATCTTTTCCAACGCGACAAATCCTTTTCTTTTTCCCTCAATTTCCCATTTCGGAACAAAGTGAGTTGTCTGCAGAGCGAGAGACGCCCTTTGCGACCAACACTTGCAGAGAGCCGACACTCGTCTACCACGCTGCTGGCCCTGAGCGGCGCCGACAAGAGCAACCGCTTCGAGGCCCTTCCCCTGGCCCACCTCGTGACGGCGTTGGTGAAGATGCTGATGGTGTTGACGGCCTCTATGGGTTTCGGGGCGATGCTGCAGATCCCGCTCCCGGAGCTGACACAGGGGGCGACGGCCACACTGACCGCTGCTGCCTTTATCATGCAGATGAAGCGGCTGACGAAGCGGCTCTTCGTCCTGGAAAATGCCGGCGGCAGCGTATCTGGCGATGCCCGAGGCTCAGCGGCAGTGGGTGCTGCTGAGCAAGGAGCGGACCATCATCAGACAGCTGACGGGCCAGCCCTTCCCGCTGGTGAACCAGTTCGGCATGATTGTCTCGTGGACGGATATCTTCTACCGATACCTGCCGGTGGTGCTGGAGAGCGCCACGGCCCTCTTCGGCACTGAGGCGTTCGACGCTGCAAACCCCGCCACCCTGCTGCAGCCGCCGCGCAGCCCCTTCAGCTGCGACGATGTGTACCGGACGTACACCTGCCTGATCGCCCAACAGCTGATCATGTGGGCCGTCAGCAGACACACGGGGCTGAACCGCATCCGGACGTGGTTGTCGACCAAGCACCCGGTCTCGTCCGCCGCTCGCCGAGCGCACGAACTGGTGATGCGCCTGGCCGCCAACCTGACGGATGACACCAATGGGATGGGCGTGGAGCATGTGTTTGACACGGCACAGGGGGAAGGGCTGACGCGGCGCCGCTATCTGGTGCTCGGGGAGCGGAGGGCATTGACGGATGAATTGGATGAGCTGCGTCTCTTTCGCTTGTTCGGTGTGTCCGGCCTTCTCCTTGGATTGATGTTGGTGGAGGTGTGGGCGGGGTGTGTGCAGCGAGGTTTTCCAGCGTACATGGGTGGCTGGCTGGCTGCAGCTTAGATGGAATCGCTACCTACATTTCATATTCGTCGGTACACACTTGTTTTGTTTCGATGTACCATTCTCTTTGCGGATGTAGCGGTGGGAGAAACAATTCATTGTGATGATGTTGTGATGATAATGAATGCACGTGCCGACCATCCATCCATTCATCGATTCACCACGTGTCTCTCCCCATCTCATGGGTCCGTCCATTCATTGTCGATTCATACTGCTTTCATTGTGTGATCACATACTGCATACATCTATTCTTGGGCTTCGCTGCTTTCTTTGCAGTGACTGGACAAACAAGGACCGGCTAAGCGCCGGCTTAGCCGCACCTAAAGCCTCACTCAAAGCCCTCTGCCCTAGTTCAAGACTGCACGAAGCCACTCACCACCTTCATACTGACTCTGCAGACAACCACCGGGCTAGCAGCAACAAGAACAGAGCAAAGACAAGCCATTCACTGCTGCACCAACCATTCATTCGGCAAAACGATTCCCAGTTATATCACTGGCGGCCTATGCGTGTGGTGTAGCTTGTCCCTGTCCGTGACGCCACACATCAATGCACCACGCAACTGCACACCCTAATGTGTGTGTGTCCCTTTCTGTGTGTGCATACCCACTACCTAAAGGGTGGGTGGGTTTGGGGGGACGGGGGACATGTCAGAGGTGGACGAGTAGAGTGAGCGAAGCGGTAGACGCTGTGCATGCGTGTGTGTGTCTGTGTGTGCATGGCACACGAGACACAGCTTGAATGCTAACTAACATGGTGTGCAACGAGTCAGAGTCTCGAGGCTTGTCCACCCATACACACACACTCGTGTTCTCATTCATCCACAGTACGCTACGCTACAGTCACATTGAACGGCCCTCTCCTCAACACATGCAGCTTGTCAGCACAACTGCATAATACAAAACAGACACGTCTGTATCCACATTCACAAACACACACGCGCATCATCATCCCATTACGTGTGTGGCCCTCTCACCTTCATGGTCTAAGGCGCCTGGCCGTCAAGCACGATAACCGCGATCAGCTCGAGGACGCTGCGCGCCATGGCGGCCGTCAGGGGGCACCGCTGTAGAAAGGGCGCATCATTGGCCACACCTGCTGCTGGCGCCTCGGTGGTACGAATGGTGACGCGCACTGTATGCAGACAAGAGCGGATGATCAGACGACACGACAGCATGAGCACACGCTGTGCATACGTGTACGTACCATTCTGGTTGTCGCCTGGTGGGATGTCAAAGTTAATCCATGCGATGAATGGGTCGGCAGCCGTTGTCAGCACATGCAGCTGCCCACAGGCCCCATTTGGCGCCTCCCATGTCATCACATCCGCGCATCCATTGGGCGGTGTGTATGGCGATCGAGTCATGATGCAGTCGAGATGGCCACCACGCACACGCCTGACAGACAGAGACGTTCATATTAGCACAAAGCGTACGTCCATCGACTCACCGGTCCACCAGCACTGCTGGCGAGTAGGTGAAGCCGCTCACAGCCTGCACCCGGTAACGCAGCACCACCTCCTTCAGCATGCAGCTCGCCGATGTGAAAACAGGCCCGTTGTTGACGCCAACCGTCGCCCAGCCCACACCATGGTGCCACCGAATGCGGCTGCGGACTGGCGGGTCATGCGGCTTGGCGTGGTGAGTGAAGGGGTGTTGCGAGAAGGGGTGGACGGGGCGGTTGGGGAGGAGGACGGGCGGGTTGATGGTGAGGGCGAAGCCGGGCTCGTTGCGGATGGCGCGAATCTCGTTGTTGTGGCGGAACAGCTCGAGTGTGCCGTCCTGCTGGCCGGTGGAGCGGCGGAAGGTCACACGGCGGCCGACGAGCATCCACTGCGCACAGAAACGGGGCAGCGCAAGGAAATCCTGCAGTCAACACACACTCATCCAGCAGCTCGCCCACTGCCTCTTCTGTATGTTGTGCTTATCGCCTTGATGGCGTATGTCTGCAGGTCTCCAGCACCCACAGTGACCGGCAGCTGGCAATAGCGGCACTGCTTGGCGACTCTGGGTGTGTCGCCCACCTCCCCCCAGCCGCCCTCGCCCTCCTCCTCCACCATCCACATGGCCTTCATCACATCGCCGTGGCTCAGCTGATCGTCGAAGTGCACCACACCAGTCAGCCCCGCCCGCTCGATGGCCTTCGGCAGCCGAAGGCGGCGGACAATCGGCCGGAGGGCATTTCTGGTGGGTCGGGCTGTCGACTTGAGGTGGGCGATGGCAGTGAGGTCAGACAGTGCCAGGATGATGCTCATGGGGTTGGCAGGGATGTCATTCAGGTGCAGCCGTCGCGCCTGATGACACACAGACAGAAGGACATACACAGACAGCACATAAGAGGTGCACCCCACATCAGTGTGGGTCTTGTGTGTGTGCCTGCCCGTGGTCACTCCCCCACTCACATATGTGCGGCGATGTCTTGTGAGTGCGATGGTCGAGTTGATGGTCTCTGCCAACTCGGCCAGCAGGTCGGACACAGCAGCAAACTGACGACTCACCTTGGCCACCGTCTGACCAATAAATCAACACGACGAGAGCAAGCCAAGCAAAGAAGACTCCACAGACACACAGAGGGCCTTGTGGTGTGTGGTGTGGTTGGCAGCCTGCCGCACCAGTGGTGCCATCGAAGCAGCGGTGTCCATCTGCAGAAGTTGGTCGATGCAGCTGTTGACCTGCACACACACACACACACGCCCACCACACACACAAGCAAGCAGCCGATGAGCTTTGGATGCACTGCATGGAATGGACGAGTCGGTATGTGTGTTGGTCAGCTGATACCTGAGCCTGCTTCAGCCGATAGCCTTCTACCCGGGGCAGCAGCTGCGCCTGTATCGCTGCCATCGTCTGCAGAGATTCGCACGACAAAGCCACAGACAAACATGCCATGGATCAGATCACGCGCTCTGCTCATGCTTTGCTTGGCCTGCAGGCTTCTCTTCCCTCACCTCAGTGGTGACGCCGTCCATCGTCCAAGCCACTGGCCCTCAAGGCATATGAATCAAACTGATCCTTGGATGCTTCAACAGGCTTTGCTCGCCTCCGTCATCACAGGAGTATCATCGAATCCCCTCCTCCACCAACCACCAGGACCAACCACCCAAACCATCTCGACTTTCAAGCTCGCAGGGAAATCGCAGGCACAGGGAGGAGATCAGAGGGTTGAGGGTGACGAGTAAGGCGTGTTCAATCTGTGTGGAAGCGTCCAAGCAGCAGCGTGATTCATGCCATCTGGGCCATGGACGTCAATCAGACTCGGGTGAGAGAAGAGGAGCCTGAAGCCAAGCAAAGCGTGAAGCAAAGCACGTGCATCATGGCATTCGTCGTGTCTGTTGTGCCTTTTGTGTTGTCCTGCATGTGTGTGGTGCAGCTGGTTGCTTTGCGTGTGCGTGAGCAGCTCTTGCCGCAGCGGGAGTTCACGCCTTTGATCACAGCATGCCTTCAGATGAACCAGACTCAGGTAGTTAACCGACTCTTCACTCACACATTCGTTTATGCAGTCCATCCGGCCATCTTTTATCGGTCGGTTGCTTGCCTCTGGTGCTGCTTGTGGTGTGGTGGCATGTGTGTGTAGGCAAACACACAGATCACACGGCTCTCACAGATGGACTCTACTGAGCTGCCAGCACAGGTGCGTGCAGGGTGTCAAGCAGGACACAGAACCACACAATGGCTTCTTTGTGTCATGCTTCGGTTGGTGTTGCTCTCGTGTGGTTCATTCATTCGTCAGATGGTGGCCAAGGTGAATCGTCAACTCGCTGCTGTGTCCGACCACCTGGCAGAGCTGGCGCACATAATAGAGACCGTCATGACACAGACAACACACGAGGGTGAGCCGACACACACATTCGTAAGGGAGAATGGCACACCAACACACAACCACGCCCTTGTGTGTGTCTGTGTCGTTGTCAGGTGGTGGCTCTGGCGATTCTGCCGCACAAAGCAACGATGGCCACGTGCAGGTGTGTGACCACAGGCAGGCACAAGCAAGACACACACACCGAGCCGCCACGTGCATTGCGTGTGCATGGCATTGCTGTGTGGCATCAGGCCACACCGACGGACCTCTCGGACCTTCCCGCTGAGCCCATAAGCACCATCGTCGCAGCCTCTGACGTCAAAACCATCGGCCGATTCAAATCGACAGCCCGCCACTTCACCAACGCCGTGCGGCCCATCGTCCGCAGCCTTCGGCTGCCGAAGGCCATCGAGCGGGCGGGGGTGGGCGGTGTGGTGCAGTTCGACGATCAGCTCGGCGATGCCGATGTGATGAAGGCCATGTGGGTGGCGGAGGAGGGGGGCGAGGGCGGCTGGGGGGAGATGGCCGACACACTCAGAGTCGCCGAGCACTGCGGCAATTGCCAGCTGCCGATCATCGTGAATGCTGGAGACCTGCAGACACACGCCAGCAAGACGGTAAACACGACACACAGAAGAGGCAATGGGTAAGCTGCTGGATGTGGGTGTTGGCTGCAGGATTTCCTGGCACTGCCCCGTGTGTTTGCGCAGTGGATGCTGGTCGGCCGCAATGTGGCATTCCGTCGCCCCACCGGCCAGCAAGACGGCACACTCGAGCTGCTCCGGCACAACAACGAGGTCCGGATCATCCGCAACGAGCCCAGCTTCCCCATCACCATCAACCCACCCCTCCCCCAGCCCACCGGCCCCGTCCATCCCTTCTCGCAGCACCCCTTCATCCACCACGCCAAGCCGCATGACCCGCCCGTCCGCCACCGCATTAGGTGGCAGCCTGGTGTGGGCTGGGCGACGGTTGACGTCGACGACGCGCCTGTTCACGCATCGGCGAGTTCTATGGTGAAGGGCCTGATGGTAGCTCACCGGGTGATGGGTGTGAGTGGATTCACCGACTCGCCGACAGTGGCGGTGGACCGGTGAGTGGATGGACGGCACGCAATGAGAGGGCAAATGGCTATGTGTTGCGCTATTGATGTGTGTTAGGGGTGTGCGGGGTGGCTACCTCGACAGCATCAGAACCCGATCGCCGCACACGCCCCTCGGCGGATGCTCAGACGTGACGGCATGGGAGGCGGCCAGTGGGACCTGTGCGCAAGGGCATGTGCTGATGACGACCGCCGACCCTTTCATCGCATGCATGATCTGGCACAGCCACCCAAACGACTACCAGAACGGTACGCAAACACATTGATATCACATCCTCATGCTGTCGTCTTGTCTGATTTCTGCTCTTGTCTGCATGCAGTCCACGTCTACATCACTATCAGCGAGGCGCCAACAGCAGGTGTCCCTCACGATGCACCCTTCGCGCGGCGATTTCCTCTGACGGCCTCCCGCATTCGTCGCGTGGCCAGCCCGATTGCGCCCTTGGTGCTCGACGGCTAGCAGCCGTAGACCATGAAGGTGAGAGCCCACCCACATGATGACATGGTGATGTGCGTGTATGTATTAATGAGTTTCTGTGTGCTGATGGATCTTGTGCTTCAGTCGTGCTGGCAAGCTGCATGTGTTGAAGGAAGGGCCGCAGGTGGCCTGCAGTCAGTCAGTGTGCGTTAGTTACGACTTCGTACAAGGCTGTGGTGTCGCATGACTGATCGATGGAGGAATGTCGTATGTATGTGGACCATCACAGATCCCATCCATCCGTGCGTCTGTTCGTATGTAAGCAACCCACCACCCAGCCAGCCACCCACCCAGCCAAATACACCGAGCTGCATCATGTCATCCATCCAGTGCGGGCAAGTGCGTGTGTGCTGAATGAAGGCGTCTGTATATGTCCACCGATCCGGATACGCAACACGACGAATGAATGCAGCCAGCCAGCCGCCCGCAGCACACGCTCAGCTGTCGAGTCTCACGCTCACTCAACTACTCATAAACCACGAAGAATCAGGCGTCTGTGTTCTGCACCCATTGTTTGTACCGACATATCTCGATTTGGCCACGTGTATCGACTCTATACATGTCGCTCACGCCCCTTCTCAACCCAGCCGACCTCCCGCCCCCAACAAGCACCACCACCACCACCCGACTGTTTCGGTCAATGAGAACACCGCCAACGCACATAAGTAGACAGACGGGGAGAGAACAGCGACACACCACACCCAGGCACAAAAAAAATAGCATAGTCACCACCATACGGAGGGACCAAAAGAACTTGACAAAACAGTATCGTCACCACCATACGGAAGGACGAAAAGAAAAGGAGAAAGCAGCGTCCGCACCATACGGAGGAACGAAAAGAAAAGGAGAAAGCAGCGTCCGCACCATACGGAAGGACGAAAAGAGTACGGCAAAGGAGAAGAAAAGGCAAAGGAGAAGAATACGACTCAAAAGCAATAGAATACACTAATTAAGTACCGTACATCCAGACCATAGACAAAAACAAGAAACAGCCATCCTCTCCCGTCTGTCTACATATGGGTGCGTGGGGCCTCCTCTCGTGTGGTGGCCGTGGGTGGTGGGTGGTGAGTGGGGTGCTCCTCGTCGCACACGCTGCCCTCGTCGGGGCCGGAGAGGGCACAGACGGGGCTGCACGGGCGACATGTCACTCGGGGGTGTTGGTGGGGGCCGGTGCAAGCCCAGGCATGCCCGCTGCATAGGCTGCTGGTGGTGCGGGTGGTGCGAATGCGGGTGCAGGCGCTGCCTGTGGTGCTGGCGGGGTCGGTGAAGGGAAGAGCATGGCCGGCGGCCCTTAGCCCCCTCGGCGGAGCGACGAAGCCCTCGGCAGCGGGGCGCTCGCCTCCGATGACTGTTGCTGGGGTGCGGGTGGTAGTTGGATGACGCTGGCCTTCCTGGGCACCTCACGCGGCGACACCGGGGGGCAGCTCGACCGGCCTGACACACACGAGAGAGAAACAGCGGTAGAGAGACGGTTCATGGGATGGCGGTCTGGATGAGTGTGCGTGTCTGTGTCTGACTTACTCAAAGCCTTCGATTTCTTGCTGTGGGTCCAGTGTGGGATGGGTAGTTGTTGGGGAGCTCCTCTCGGGGGTGCTCCACCTGCACCTGAGGATGGCAGGGCCGGCGCGGCAGCTCC